TTTTTTAATACATAGCTTGCAAAATGTGGAATATTTTAAAATTTTGACCTTTCGCAGAACGTCGTTCTGGTCAAAATTTATCCAAATCAAAAATGGTCGATTCATCGATTTTGCATGGATTGACCCATATATGTAAGTATAATAAATGTGTGTAGGTGTTCAACCTACATTTTATTTAGTCGTGGATGAGAACATATTCACAAACCAGGCAGTAAAAGTACCAGGTCATTAACTAAGAATCTATATATAATCTATACATAAGTATATGGATTTTTTATCAAATTAAAGTGTTGGGTCTGTAGAACTGCCACCTGTTGAACAATTAAACTCAAATTATTTAATAATCAATGCCAATAATCTCCGCACCGTTCGTTCGATCTTCCGAAATGAGCTGTCAAATTAAAAGCCTTATGCAATAAGGTTTTACTTTTTCGAAAAGAGTTGCTACATTTAAAAAAATGGGTTTGAAAAGCTTTGTTTCTTAGCTCAACTATAGAAAGGTTTATAAAATCATAATAGGTGCGAGATATCTGTATCACCATATGGGTGCCAAACGAAAGGGGTTTCAGAAAGTAGTAGTTTGAAGTTATTTTGAAGAGGGTTGCCACGTGCTTGAAATGTCGAAATTAGTTTACTTATACACAAGTTACATATATGAAATATCAAAATATGGATGTAAAACAAAGGAGTGTTGGGAAATATTTAGTTTTGGAAGCTAAGAATATTTTTGCGGTATTGGAAGAGGGTTGCCATCGGTTTAAAAAATTTAATTCAAATTATTTAATAAGCTAAATGAGTATCAATCGAAGGGGGTTAGAAAACGTATTAAAATATGTGTCGCAATGTCCGGCGAAGCAGAGTTAACAAACTAAGTCAAACTACAGAATAGTCAAACTAAAGAATGTTAAGAAATCTTTAGTTTGAACACTTGCAATGTTTGAAGAGGGTTGCCACGTGTTTAAAAAATTACATTCAAATTATTCTTCAAGTTGGATGAATTATCAAAACATGGGTATCAATCGAAATGGGTTTCAAAAGGCTTTATTCCTGACCTTTATTTAGGAGGGTTGCCATTTGTTCACAATGCCAGACGAAAGACATTTAAGAAGATTTTATTTTGAGAATACTTTTGAAAAGGAGTCTCAAAAATGAAAGGCCAAATTAAAGACCTTAGCCTGTAGATGTGTGATAAAGTTTTATTTTTTAACTAAGAACTTTTTTCATCGGTATAGAGTGATTTGAAATTTAATGAAATTAAGAACGTGCAATATGCAAGACTGCTCTTTACTGGCAGTCGGAACCCTTATAGCTCTAACTAACATTTGGAATAATTTTTAAGTTTTTAAAATTCAATTTTGGGCGTTTTAACGACATGCGGGTTCACTAGTTTAGTTTAATTTGAAAATGGAGCCAGAACTAACTACCATTCGAATTTAATGAATCTCAAAAAATAGTTTCTGTTTTAAAATAATAAAATTTTAGTAAAAAAAATTCCACTAAAAAAAGAAAAAATGTGTTCCAAAATAAATCATCTTACCACCCTGTCGGAAAAATCAACCGACACCAACATACAAAAAAAAATCTTCTTTCTGAGGATTTCAATCTCGGATCTGTAGAATGACCTACAACAATAAACAATAATACCCGCTGGGACTTTGCTCTGTCGGTCATTACGACTGCTCGAGCGTCGCGAGCAAAATGACGTATGTAGCTACTTATAACAATTGGAAAAAAGATGGTAGACAAACTAGTCCTAGCTCACCACTAGTAGCTTTCCCTGCAGGGTGTATGCAGTTATTTACATACATATGTGTGTGACGACACATTGCATCAGCACTCCAGTCACTCTTAAATGTTCTCGAGTGGCTGACAGGTGAGCCTTTGTCTACATATATCACAGTGTACAAGGTTTGCAGATATGTAGTATGTATGTAGATGTGGTACCCGCACAAGACTGGTGGAGCTTTGGTCGGATTTTGTGCCGTGACTAGGCCATATTCTATTTAATAGCATGCAAACTTTTTATAAACGACGGTTTTTTCATAACAAAATAATAAATATTTGGCGCTGTTATTTCTCATAAGTTTGTGATAGAGCTTCACCTCGCATGTGTGGATGCGTCTTGAGGTTATAACAAAAATGGAGGGACCCACATATTTCGTATCTACAGTATAGATATTTAAGAGATCGTAGGAAAACCTATAATTTTTTCAATAGGGTAAAATAAACGGATTATATACTAATAGTTAAAAGCCGGCCTACTGTCATTCAATTTGTAAAATTATTTGAAGTTAATTATAAACATAAATCACTAGCATGGTTTTCAAACTAAAGCAGGTTAATGAGGAAAGCAGCCACTCCACTCGGAAGTTCGTACACATATGTATATTTACATACATATGTATGCACATAAGCATTTGCAAACTGTTAAATTATACACAGACAAGCACTTAGCGGCAACAAGGACGCGAGCAACAGCCGGAAAATTGTGCCTGTCGGATGCACTTGACGCGCGCACTGAAGGTGTTGGTGCCAGTGAGCAGGCAAATACTTATGTATGTTCATGTATATATATGTACATACACATGTACTACATTAAAACGCAATTCTGATGGAAGTCAGCTGAAATATGCGAATAAGCGCAAGAATATATATACGGAATGATTTTAGACTTTGATTAATTTAAAAAAAGTTGGCTTTTAATTATTTGAATGCGTAGCTAAAATACTCAAAAAGAAAGTGAGTGAGTGACGCATGTATACGGTGACCATTCGTCCTTTATTTAAAAGGAAAGTCCTCTATTTTAACCCTCTGTCCTTTATATATATTTTTTTTTCAAAATAAAGTACGTCTTTAAAAACTAGAACGTCACTTATGAAATCTAATGGGAAACCTACCCCAGAGTGTTTCTTCGTATAGGCTATGAATCACGAATAATTGCTTATACTGATGGGAGGAATTTATATAATTGGGGAAGGAATTATAACGCGGTACGAATAGCAATAACGCGGCTGAAAAACAGCAAAGCTACTAGAGCTGACAGCCTGCCAGCTGAGCTATTCAAGTACGGTGGCAAGGAGCTGATACAGTGCATGCATTAACCGAATATGCAGAATATGGTCAGATGGACCCATGCCCGACGACTGGAATTTAAGTGTGCTCTTCCCAATCCACAAGAAAGGCAAGCCCGCCCTACCAGCCAACTATCGCGGGATCAGCCGTCTAAACATAGGTTACAAGGACTTATCTAGTGTAATGTGAAAGACTGAACTTGCGTTCACTTGACGTCAGTTGGCACAGAAGAGAAATGACTGGTGGCTATTTTGGACTCGGCCAAAATCGCTTAGGCGGTTACAGCGCTACTAAAGAAGAAGATAAGAGGACATATAACAAACGCAACTGCTCTAATAGATTTCAATGTGGCATGCATTTCGGCAGTAAAGGATGGCGGAGTCATTGAAAAGGATTTGCGTTGATTTTTCGCAGTCGGTTACAATCCGGTTACAGCGCCATTCAAACAGAAAATTTGTAAAATTAAATAATAAAATTAACAGGCAAATATTTGATTTAAATTCCGTTATGGGTAAGCTGCTAGTATCGTCGCCGGTCGGAGTCGGCGTAAAACTGTAGGTCCCTCCCCTTTGTGTAACAACATCAAGGCGCACACCCATCGGCGTAGCCTGAATGAAATTTAGGGGGGAGGGGCTCGACCCTATTAAGCTGGCATTTCAGGGTACTATTTTATATATATATAAGGAAAATTTGAAAGCTAGGGGGGAGGGGCTCCAGCACCCCCTGCCCCTACCTGGCTACGCCCATGCGCACACCACAAATTGGCGGAGAAGCTCGGTCCAATGCCTAATAAAAGTGTAAGCGGCAAAATATTATATGATTATTATTATTATATACTAAATATTTACATTTTAGTTAATTACATTATTATTATTATGTTGCTCTCGTAATCACCTTAAGCCACCCAAGGGATTTCAGAAAATTAATTGCGTTTCTGGTGAAATATTACAGATACATTTCTTTGCTAATGCAAATACCCCAAAGAGCTGAACTAGTTTTGTTATTAGTTTTCCAAATGTTTATCAACTAATTAATTACACTGAGAAAATTATACAGGTAAGATGCGCGTATCAAAAAGAAAAAAAAACAAAATAGTAAAACAAATATTTCTGAAATAATATTACTTCATACAAAATAAAAAATGCAGAATGCCAAATTGTCAACCACTAAATAAAAAGGAAGCCCTCTTAAAATAAAAAACCAAAAATTTCCATAAAAAAAAAACATTTTAAAATCTCCTTTAAATTTTCAATTGTCAAACGCTCGTTTTATGAAGCGGCTTGAAAATGTGCCTATTAAAAATTGATTAATGTATAAACCTTAGATGATGAATTGAAAATGGTTATTTTGAAAACTGAAATAAATATTGTAGATGCAATACCTGGGTCAAAACGTTTTTAAAAATAAAACGTTCCATACAAAATTGAAAACGTAAATAGACTTTTCCGTTATATGCATACATATATCTAATTCCCACTCTATGCACACCTACGGCCGAGACTGTCAATTGCCAGGTTTGTTGTGGTGACCAAATAAATGTAAATATTTACGTGTATATGCAAAACCGCAGTATTTGTTGAAAAATAACTTTTCCCGCGTGTGCACCTACATATATGTAGTACATTTCACAGTGACACGATTTTAATCTAAAAACATTGAAATATGTCTCAAAAGCTTAGTTACACTTTGCGTGCCTTTTCAATCTGCTATCAATTATTCAAAACAAGTGCTGTAATTACACTCCAGTGAACAGACTTAATGAGCTTTACAAAAAAGAAAACATTAACGACAAACCAAATAAAATACATGTTTCAATCATTATCAGGGGCTTAAACGGTTATCATAGTTTAGCAGACCACACTTCTAGTTCATAAAATGCAATGATTCTACTCGTACATAGCTCAATAACTCACATCCCGTTGCACTTCCACCCCAATCTCCATAACTTTGCAGTGCCGGTTGCTTCAGCTGCACACCAGTTTGCTCTTGACCTACATCTTGTATATACATATGTATGTATAAACTTATAAACCTACATTCACAATAATTCCTTGTAGGTGTGCGTGACAAGGACGTACTCAAATTTGTTGCTGCAATGAGAAATAAATATGTTTTTAGGCAAAGCAAAGGTATTTATAAACAGGAAAGCACTAACAACAAATCATTTGCTGAAGTTGTCGAAAAGCGCCGGCTTAGAATAGTTGTTGTTGCATAACATGTAGCTGTTGCTTTTGCCATTGCGTTTTTCATTGACCTTGTCCCTAGCAGCACATGGCTCACATCAAGGGCTTTGAGTGGCAAGGATTGTGTGTTTATGTGTGTGTGTGTGTGTGTGTGTGTGCGTACGCGTGGGTACCCTGTGGGGAAATTCTCTAGTTCTGAACTGGTGCGCTTCTAGTACATTTAGACCCAGTACTGGTTCGCGATAAATCTCTTTTGCATGCAAGCAACTGGCGAATTTAACATGGCGATGTCCTAGGAAGTGTCAATTGCCCCCCGCTGCATCCCTTTTTCGATAGTTCCGAACTAGACCTAAATTCTATAGTTCCGAACCAGTTTGAAAATCGACAGACGAAAGAAAAAAGTATCAAGATTTTTCAATCTTTTTGGTTCATCCGTGGCGCGATTTTAAGTTATTTTGGAAGAAATGTGTTTTCAATTTGAAATTAAATTTGTTTGAATGAAGAAATATACGTTTACATACCTTTGGCTGTAGCTGACTTTGCAGAGGTGCTCGCTGTTATTGGTTAGATTCCAGACGGCCCCAAGATGTTAATATGTTAACACAAAGCTTTGTTTTGTATTACACAATCTATGTAAAGTAAACAAGCCCCCCGCTGCATCCCTTATTCGATAGTTCCGAACTAGTTCTAAATTCGACAAATAAGATCTAGTTCGTTCTGCATCCCCTTTTCTATAGTTCCGAACCATTTCTAAATTCGTCACTTTAGATATAGATTTCTAGTGAAAAAACTGAAAAAAATTAGTTTTTTAAAAGTACCACTTTTCGCCGATTTTGGACTGGAGGGGATCTAGTTCCTATCGGACTGGTTCCTTTTTGGCGATAAAGACCTAGTACGGAACTAGAAATTTGATTCACCAGTGCGCGGTATCCCTACAGGGTAGCGTTTTTATGTGAAAGTGTGGTTGCAAGTGGCGCGCTTCTATATGTATAAAAGATAATTTACGTTGCCTAATTATGAGCTATTCTAAAATTTTTTAGAGACTTCAGAATGTGTTTCAATGTTTTTTTTCATTTCTTACGCTTTGTTCTTAAAATATGCCGTTTTATTGAAGTGTGAATACTTGGAAGATGCAGTTTAAATATCACTACGTATGTATGTAATAGTAGTTGATGCTACTTAAGCAGGAGATAAATTTGTATATCCTTCCGGTTGGCGCATTTCAATATGGCTTTAGAAAAAACCTTTTTGGAAAACAACTTCCGGCACTTCTCTGTAAATAAATTCAGAGCTTCCGTAACCGTAATTAGGTTGAGAGATACAAATCTGAGTCAGAATAAGAGTAATTTAAAGAGTTAAGGAACATTTTTTTTAGAAATGAATATCACAAGGTAGGGCATTTAAGACAATGCACAAGTTTTGGTACTACGAACCGGTTGGGTACATGAACCAGCTCCTAAGCGCAATTTGGCCTTGCGAATACACAATCGAAGACTGGAATCTTAGTCAAATTTTCCCAATTCACAAGCAGGAAAACCATACTCCCTGCATCAATACCCGTGGTAGGAGTAGGATTGCCAGACCTAAAATGCCGAAAGGGGTACAGATAAGAAACCATTGGGGGACTTGGGGTACAACTGAGAAAGAAAAAGGGGGATTTTTTGGGGCACAAATAAACCTGAATGTATTCACCAAAAAAATTGTTTATTCGCTTAACAAAACAAAGTTACACTGTCGATCAAAACCGAGTGCGTGGTGATTTTATTTTAAATAAAATTTTAATATCAAAAGACCGCTATTAAAATTTACACTAATTTTACTAAAATTTCATGAGGCATGTAACTGCATACCCAAGAATTCAAATAAAAAAATTTAAAATTTGAATGGAAATTTGCTGCATTGGTCTAAGGTTTGCATTAAGTTGGCAAGTTTGATTGATGTATGTCAATGCTTTTGATTAAAGCATGAAAACAATTTTTTTTTAAATTAACTTGAAAAACGCTAATTTCATAAGTGTTATTTATTGAAGGAAAAATAGAACTCAGCAAGTAAGTATTAAATTACGAGCAAACATAGAATTCATGAAATAATTCTTAAGTTTGATGCAAAAGATAAAAATCAAAATATAAGGATTAAATATTGATTTTTTCAATGTCGCTTATAGTCGCTACGGTCCCTGTTTTGAACTTTCGAAAATCTATCGAAATTTTTTAGTTCAGACCAAAATTCATGCAAATCAAAAATGGTAGATTCCGACCATTTTGGTCGATTTGACATCGACTGGCTCACATGTAAATAAAAACTCTACTAAAAAATAATTTCCTTCGTCACTTTTCAATTAAATTTTTGGCGAGAATTTCCTCGTAACTTCCTATTTAGTTTACTTCTGTCGAGAAGGATAAAATGGAACCAAGGTAAAACTATAGCTTATACTCATTTTAGTTGCACCAATTGCATAAGAAATAAATTTCCTCAAAATCGCTCAAGCAGTTAAATAAATACTTAGTAAAAAATTACAAACTCACACGCACAGCTTTGTTGGTCGATCAGTAGACTTTGCTTATCAAACAGCTTAGTGGGCAGCATTTTCAAAGTAATTAACAAGCTCTTAAACATTAATTAAATGCCAGCTTAGCAAAACATGCACACAAAATTGCATTAAAACGTCGACAAGTTTATCGCAAACGAAATGCTTTACTGACTATGCAATGAATGTACTCAGGACAAGAATTATTGGCGCTGTAGGTGGTAAAAGCGCAGGGTGTAGAAAATAAATTTTTTGTAACAGTGCTTTTGCCTCTATGTACATACATACATACATTATTTTATAAAATTTCCCTACAATTGAATTTTTTTATTCTTAAATCCTGCTTACCTTGCATCAACACAATGTATTGACCAACACATTTGCTACTGCTGCTGATGATGCCGCTCATACTGCCACCGCTGCCACTACTCCCACCGCCGCCCATCAGACCGCCCGAGGCATGACTGAGCCCAGTACGCAGCAGAGTCTTTGTGGTTTGTGTACGCAACTCGACTGTAAGTGGCTCCTCATCGGTGGCCGGCCGTGCCAATGGCCAAATGAAAGACTGTAAAGTGAAAGAAAAATACATAAATAAAAAAATTATGAAATACTCAAAAGAATATCTGCAAATAAATACATGTACGAAATTCAGTATTTGTGCTTGAATGAAGCTTTTGTGTGCTTGAGGGTATTAACGAAGCTTAAGGTACTCGTATTATATAAAAAAAAAGACTTGCATTTTGTTTTTTACTTTGATTGGGTACAAATGCATTCAAGTGATAATAATCAGATATCTGGCCATTTTTATTTTTTTTTTTTTAATTCCGGATCCCCCAGATACAGGGCGCACTTAAATGCTCTCAACGCAGATTAATTAAACAGCTCCACAAAAAAAAAAAAAAAAAAAAAAAAGTAATTTTTAAGCAAAAAAAGAAACGATTTCAATCGCTGATGTTAATTCTGGCTTTGCAATTTAATAGTAAATTCTTCCATCAAACGTTAGACAAGGTCAGCATTAATACTACCGATGACAGTTAAGCCTTAGGTGGATTTTTACATCAAAATCTCATTTTTGTGAAAAGTGTAGATAGTGGGTATTGAATATAAGCCCTAGAGAGCAAAACAACTATTTTCTACTAACTATAAAAATTTTCTTCTACTGTGAAGGCATATTTTTTCAGTGTAGTACTGAATGTTCAAAGGTATTTTCATTCAACCAACATTTTCAATCAATATGCTTGCGCAGGTTGTTGCATTCACTTTGTGATTTTTCCCTACACTGAGGGAAAATACGCGTAGGAAAAATTAATGTTTTTTATTTGATTATCATTTAAAAATGTTTACAGAAAAAGTAGTAAAATCAAATAAAAACGTATTTAAATCAGGTGAAAAGTGCTTAAAAGTAGCGTACGTATAATGAAAATGATCATTTCAAATACGCCCGTATTAAAATGGAGCATTTTTCACTGCACGGATGCTTTTTCATAATTAAGAAAGTGTATGTCAACACATACATGCCCACATACATTGTACATTTTTATCTGCATAAATGCACTAATCGCTTGATGCGATTTTGATTCAAATTCAACATTTGAAAACACATTGACAGGTATGGCTGTAGCTGACTGTGCAAAGATGCTTGATACAATTGGTTGCTGCCAAGGGTGTCCGGGTTCAATTCCCATCAGACGGAACATAAAATTTGAGATTTTTTTTTATTTACGAAGAAGCATTTGTGAAGTGCACAACGACACATATAAAAATGTATATGCTCAAATTTATTACGAGTTGGGTTGGTGCTCTTTCATATGCGAATTTTTTAAATTTAGCACTTTTTTTATATTCTAATTTTATTTTTTTTTGCCGCAGTGTGGCATTCAATAACACCCTACACCGCCGCCTATTAACCAATTTAAAAAAAAAGTGATTAAATTTTTAAAATCAAACAATCACATTTTTGAAACGAATAAAATGTTAATGAACACTCAATCGATTCAATCTATATAGGGTTCTAGTATGAAGATATGTATGTATGTATGTATGTAGGTATATATTTATTTCTTCCCACCAAACAATTTTTGTTGCCGGCAATAAGAAAACGTGTCGCCCTCGGAAACAAATTTATTGTCGGCAATATCGCCATCGTATCGATTTCTTATTACCAGTCGCTCTAAAACGTCCGCCGAAGGCAACTCGCCGGGGCCAGTTGTTTTCTTATTACCTGAATGAATTGTTTTCTGATCGCCTTATTATTGCTTCAGGCGATAGTTGGAATAATTTTATTCTTTTTAATACTTCATTTATTGTTTTTATGCAAAATTGGAACTTAGAAACGGAACTAATTCTCTCTTTCGCTATGAGGCTTCCTATTTTTTCAATCCTGTCTTTGGTATAAATTAAAGGCCTTTGGATAATATCGTTAACGCGAAAGTTTGAGAATTTTTGATAACTTATTTATTCTAAAATTGTCATGAAAGAAATGATGTCGCCATTTTGTCACCACGACAATAAATCGGTGAGACGCCAATTTGTTGCCATTGACGATTATTGCCTATTTCTCATGTTTTGCATGGTGGGTTTAGTCTTGTCACATCTACATACACCGAAAATATCAATAAAAAAATTAAATAACTCAACATTCACTCAGTTTTAGTGACCCACCCACCTGACGTGTGCGTAACATTAGAGCCACACGAATACACTTGCACTCACTCTCTCTGCAAGGAAGCAATTCAATTTCGCTTACAATTTCTATCACAAGCAAAACAAAATCAGTCGAAGCTATTGAAGTATTATTAAATTAACTCAGTATGTGCTGCCGGTTAGTTTTGTATTTTTTTGCACAACCTGCGGATGTACAAACGTGCACACAAGTGACATTGAAACTGCGTGTACTGATGGAAACCGGAAACAAAATTTGACTTCAATGAAAGTTTATAAAGAAGAATCAATAACAAACTCTTGCACGTGTGCTAATGCCAAGGATGCTAAACTAAAAAGCGGAGGAGAAAGAAAATTATATGGCTACTTCACATCTTCTGGAATTACGGAAATGGGTGATACTATTTTAAAATACACTTTATCTATGTATGTATATTGATTATTTAGGTAAATGTTGATTTTGTTTTGTTGTTAGGTCACTCATTTTAAAAAGGTTTTAAGCCAATGAGCCTTTCATCGTTTATCTTAAAGGCACTAGAGGAACTAATTGTCTTACATATGCACGCAATAATATATGTATGTATAAGGGAAAGTAGTTGTATCCTCATAACGAATAAACCACAGCACGCATACCAAAAGCACACATCGATTGAAAGCGCTATTCATGACGAGGTCAATACCGTTGAAAAGTCACTGGAAGGGCTGAATATGGCTTTTCATTTAAATGCAGCCTTAGTTAGATTAAGGGGGCTTAAAATTGTGGAACTAGGCCGAATATTCGCACGTAACTATCTTGAGTAAATTTGAAGGGAACGGCTTAGCTTCCGTTTCGAGAGTATCAAACGATTTCCAGCTAGAGAAGAATCGGATTCTGGCCTATCGATGAAGGTATTACCGTAATCAACGATGGCTCAAAGATGAAAAAGGAGTTCTAGCAGGAAATCTTCTCTACAAATATACCCGCTAAGGAATGCGTGGGAAGGAGTAGTTTCTGGCGCAAACGGTCGGGGAGTGTTTCCGCAGATGTGTCGAAGGTTGACGGCAGAACTGAATGAGATAGCTTCTGTGGGGAACTACTCTTAGATATTAAATTTATCTAACCGGATTTCTGTAGCGTATTTCAATCAGAGGTAGCTGTTAATAAAGAAGCAGTCGACCAGTTGCGCAGTTGTGTAATACCGTTTAGAGAGGTAAAAATCTATGCAAACTGATGACTAAGCAGCGATCAGAGTTCTGGGGTAGGGTCAGAATTGGTCTGAGATTACCTGCAGTGGAATTCTGACAATTGGTATGCTTAATTTTTGTAGCTTAAATTCTCTCAATGAAAAGAAGTGGATTCTAAAAGTATACAACATGTAAGAGTAAGACATGCAATGTGCCATCAGCTATCAGCAGTATGGGGGGCATGTAACTAGTTGTTGCGTGTTGCTAGGGGCGCTTGTTATTCCTTGGCAATTTTTGGCGGTCAAAACTAGCCATAGCAAATGTTGTAATCCGGCTGCTGATCTCTCTCTCTCTCTCTCTCTATTGCATCAGACTGATTTGTGGGTTCCGGGGCACAGCGACATTGCAGGAAATCGCTGGGGCGAAGAACCATCAGCAATGAAATTTAGTTTGGGTACCTATGAAAACCTGCGGACTTCTTGTGAACAAATGGGTTTTTAGACGGTGCAGCGAACGCTGGACAGTGTAGGAAACTTTTCCAGCTCATTAAGCCACGACTCTCGGTTTGGTGCGGGCTCTGACTCATGGAAACTCAGCCCTGATTTTTCGAAGCTTAGGCTTAAACGGATAATATCCAAGGTAGTACAGAATTGAAAGAAAATGACGCGCATCGCTAACATAACTAAGTCACGAAAACATTACTCTCTGCAGGGTTCCTGGACATAGCAATATCGAAGGGCACGAAATAGCCGATGAGATGGCTAGACACGGTCGAAAATGCGGATCAGCGAGACGGATAACTCGCAACTGAGGAAGAGTTACGAGTACACCACAGCAGTAAAAAAGGTCTAAATGGCCAAAGTTTAACAAGAAACGAACTGAATTTTAAACGAAATTTTTAGAGGAGGGAGAGTTGTCTTCCACCTTACCGTCGAATTTCAAGTGCTAATTCCTAACCAACCCAAAGAAATTTTTTGAAATTAACATCTTAAAGTCTTTAGACACCAAAGTCTAATGTCCTTAAATTTTGTTTTTTCGGATTTATTTTTTTCCGTTAAGTTGCGGAATTTGTGAAAAAATTCCAAATAAAATACTTACAAATTTCAATTCATTGAAAATATTGTACACCGCCTTACTCTGCGCTGTGTTCCTCCTAGCGTAAGCTTAAACTCACTCAACAAGCAAGGCCAGCGTATTGCTGGAGGAAACAGTTATTCACTGGCCGCTGCTACACGCAAACAAGAGAAAAAAGCGGAAAATAATAACATATCTTCCCGAAGGTCTTCATTGATTTGACCGCTAGCCTCTGGCTTTTCTTTGATTTATTTCGGACTTTCGTTTTTGGTACTTTTGGCATTGTTTAATTTTTTTTTGACTGTTTAACTTGGAAAACATTTCTCGGAATTTGATTGTATGTAGTTCGTGGAGAAATACATACAAACATTCTTCATCTTCTGAAATTTGTGGTCACTGTGTGTATTTGTGGAAGAACATAAATTACATGTCACTTCTTGGCAGAAAATTGCAAAATATTTATGTTCAAGTAAATTCATTGTACATAATAGAATATTGTTATATAATTTTGTTTTATTTTTGCAGATAAATAATGCATTCAAGTATGTACTATGATTAGTGTGCAAATGGCGAATGAATTAGCTTTATAATGCTTTTACTCACCTGATTAACATCAATAACGTTGCAATCAGCATTTAATTCTGATGTTATATGGGCAACACCTGAAAAATGGAAATACGAAACGATATTTAATAAATCAAGTAAAGGTTGGAATTTTATAGAAAATAAGCTACTAAATGCTTGATCCACTTGCGAATTTAATCTTGCCTGAGAATAAATATATCGACCTATAACTAAACCACGAAAGGGACTTTTTGCTAAAAGTATGGAAATATTAATTTGGAAATTTCAATAAAATTTCCCAAGCTCTAAAAAATATTTAGTATTATTTAGGCAAACAATTTCGAAAACTGCTCTTATTCTTTTAAACATTCCGAAGAGTCAGCGAAGCTGAGCAGTTGATTAACTTTGCTGCTGCGGATCTTCTCCTCCGACTTGTGGTGTGCGTCTTGAAGTTGTCACTCAAAAAGGTGGGACCGAAGGTTTTACGCCACCACTGAACGGCAAATGATTTTAATGAGAAGTTTTTTTTTCATGGCAGAAATACACTCAGAGGTTTGCCATTGCCTGCTGAAGGCCGACCGCTCTTGGAATTTTGTTTCTGTCGCTCGGACCAGGGATCGAACTTGGGCATGGTAGTGCGCCACCGCTAAACGCACAGTATGTCGTGTGGAACAAACTAGGCGGACAAAATTCTTTCCTGGATTTCCAGAAAAGCGTAATTTATTAACATAAAGGATAGATATCCAAAACGCACTAACTCAAAAAGTTTTTTATGTCCTAAATTCTGCTGTGGCGTGCGGCAGTGTTCAGGAGTAATTTTATAATCTTATTGAAACTCAAAAGTATTTTAGTTGATTTTATTTACTCTTTAAACAACTTCTAATTGTGGAAGTGAGTAATATGTGTAAATTTTTAATAATAGATTATATATCTAGTGGTCTCCCTTACATCTACTCTACTAAAAAATACGGTGAACTATTCCTGATGCCATGAAAATAGGTTTCGTCCGCATTTAGGTCGTAAGGCAACTAAAGTCACTTTCAGCCATTCGCGTGTCACCTCGAAAGAATGTGGCCTGCAAGTAGGCTCTTAATTAACAATATTTCCCCCTTTCTTAGCGCAGCATGTGAACTTCAACTTTTTTGTTAAGGTAGCGCTAGTAAGGCGTGAGCGAAAGACCCACCCCACCCGATGAGCTATGCCTGGGACCGCGAGCATGCCGACTCGCTACTCGACCTTGCAACCAACCTGCAGCTACATAACAGGCTCTTGCGATTTACTCAAGTCGCAATGGGAAAACCGGAGCTTAGCTGTTCTGAAAGCACTTCTGTAATCCCGCTGTCTATGCGCTTCATTTGGGTATATTTTGGGTTAATCCTCAGTGCCGAGTCAAAGGATCTTTTCGACGGCGTATGCACAAAGTAGACTAATGTTGTTGCATTTAGCACTGATGAGACTTGAGGCTAGCCGTTCACTGATGGGAGTGCACCGTCCACAAAACCCATACCAAAGTTGTATGCTATGCCAGGAGAGCGGGAACATGCGCCGTATGCTGCATATTTTTGTACAGTTCATCGCATTTTCCTTACCGCTGAGATATCAGGCAGCCTTATGCCTCCATTCACAAGAAATTACAGTAACAAACTCAGTAATCTCAAAACTTCTAAAGTGAAATGATAATCTTTCCACTCCAAATAACTCCCTGCTCGCAGATAATAAACCTCAGTCAACCAACACACATACATAAGTGTTTCTGCGCACAAATTGCAAAGTGGCACACTTATCACCCCCATTTACCGTAATCTACTCAAAACAGTTTATTGTACGTAGTAAATTGAGCCAATTCTCATGCGATCCCCATTTTGGAATCTTTAACAGATTGCGGAATTTCATTAAAATTATCCCCATTGACATGACACTGCAAATAAGTTAAGAATTTTATTATAGCAGCCGCAATACAAATGTTTACATTCAATTTTACGTTTCCCGTATTTTGCGTGGCTCAAAACGTACTGCACTACTTGCATATGTATATTGCACGGAGAGCAGTGAAGGTAAATAAAAAAAATAAAAAAAAATAAAAAATTTCAAAAGAGCACTGCGTATCTACAAAGCGCCAGCAGCCCCTTTACTTTGCTGCATGACACACACTGCAAGTAGGGGATAGAAAATGCAGGAATATTTAAAATTCATTTGAAAGCTGAAGGAAGAAAATCCATGTAAAAAATATTCTCATTTTTTTTTACTTTGCTTTACTTATGTTTGTGTATATGCTTACGCAGTCCCACGATGTCGCTGCTGATACTCCCTCAGCATAGTTGCAATTTTCCCACGCATCCATAGCCAGCGCCTTTTTGTTGTTGGCTTTCACATTTTTAACTGTTTTTAGTTAAGCACGCGACAGCTGCAGTAGCTGTAATGCCAATAGCGCGAAGTGCTGCAGTGAATGAAAATGACAACAACAGCAAAATAAAAAAACGCCTTTGCCTGTTTTTTACAGGCAACTGATGTGTATATAAGCCAGGTTAGATCAAACTTGATCTCAATGCTTGCAGCTGAGCATAAATACATAAATACATAGTACATATGCGCAAATTTTGAGTACGTCTATGACATGGCCTGAATGCTATTACCAATTCAAAAAGACGTTGCATGTCGCCTGAAAAAATACGCTTATATATGAAAGTTAAATTTAAGTGCAGCTTAGTGCGAAATGTCGCATGGCATTTGCGTTTAAAAAATTTAAAAGTAAATCCCCTTTTCGGAAACGCATCAATGGAAAGCGACAGCCTCTTTCATTTCTAAACTATACTTGCTGGAAATCTCCATGCAGTAGTTGCGCAACTTAGGCATTTCTATTAATTACAGTTTAGTAATCAACGTGGCTAAATATTCATTCCAAATTGGTCCTTAATAACCGAAAACAAGTAACCATTACAAATAAGTCTCAAGGTAAACCTCAGTGAAGGTTTATTTCTTGAAACAAAATATAAAACTCAGTGAAGGAGATTTATTTCTTGAAATTAAATATAAATCTTAGAGGGCAACCAAAATAAAGCGCGTATTTGTACATATCAATAGAATCATAAGGGTCTAAGTGACATTTTTTGGAAATATAAGTTATACCCATATTTGTATAGTATTTATTTGGTGACAAAGTATAATCATTCTTTGAATTAGTTAATTAACCTGCATTCATTTAGGCAAGCATCATTTCAAATGAATTCACCCAGAATTTCCAATAAGTAATCAACTTTAACCTTAAAAATAAAAAAAATAAAATCAAATCTACTTAGATCCTTTTGACTCTAACCCCTTCATATATCTCTCCGAGAGAAAACTTTATGTGACTGCGCAATATGATAAGTATCCGAGAAAAACCAATATGATTTTTCGGTTAAGAGTTATTTTCGAGCCCTGCTAAAGGCCCATAACATGCCTGGCCGGATCAGATGGAAGCTTAAAACATTTACTCGATAAAAAAATATTCTTTGGAAAATCGCTGGATAGATACTTTGTTTAAAATGAATGTTATTAAAATTGCAGTGCAATTATCATTTACAATGGTGGCTATATCAATAGGAACACGACTTTTTGACAATTTTTCTATAAATTTTGATTGAAAGATTTGAAATATTTGTTAAAATTTGTCGAATTTTTTAAAATCTTGTACAAAGTTTGAGATATGGTTTCGTTTTGAAGTATATTCATTTTTAAAATTAAATCAAAAATAAATTAAGAAAAACAAATCGTCAGAACTTAAGAAATCGTTTCCCTATTTATATGGCCCCTACATTAGGTGTTTTCCATATATATATGTAAATCTATTTGTCTATAGTATAGTATAGTAAAATCGCACTGCTATCCTAAGTAAATATTGGCATAAACGACGAACTAGCCAAACCAGCGACAACCTTGTAGTATTTCAGGAATTTCTGGCTTTGCACGCTCTTCCATAATGGATCCTTTGTCAGTATTTATGGAATTTTTTTCACACTATCCGCTCGAGTATGCGAAAAATGTTCACGAAGGCATTTTATACTAACAAATAATTGTATCAGAATGTGAAAGCTGAGGCAAACAAAGAGGTATTGATAAACTTTGATGTGACAATATTGACTAACGTCCGTGCATGAGGTGCACACATACATATGCACATACATACATACATACGTACATACATTCATATTTCTCCATATACATAACTGTAATAAAATTGGTTACGTGCGAACACGTTAAATTCCATGTGACTTTTAACCTTGGGACGGAGTTGAAAAAATGTCTTCATACACGGAAAAATATTTTATTCAGAATTCCTGAAATTATGCTTTCATCTTTATGGGGTTTCCTTTGATAACAAAGTTGAATTATGGTGTCTAATTTAATTTGAACCATTTATGCGGCTGCGGTAAACAGAAATATTTTAATACAACATAGCAGTGATATTTAGATCCCATATTTTCAGACGGAGGTGTTTGTTATAAGGGAAGCAGTCGATTGCGCATAGACAAAATGCTAACGAAAATATGCTTCAACCAGCCCTTCAATGTAGTAATTCCTCAAAGAGACACTTGCTCAGAGCGTTTGGCAAGTGCACCCCAAGTCTGGTGTACAGACAATTTCAAAACTCTATTGAACCAATCAGGCTTGCATAAAAGGGTTATCGTTTTGTGGGTATTGGGATTTGAGAGTTTCGATGGCAACTAAAAAGTCGACGCTCTCGCAAAACGTGGGACCCAACGGAGCTTCTGTGGTACATCGAATTTTTACACAGCAGAGCTCCTAAGGGAAAAAGTTAGCCGTATTCTCTATTTACTTCCTCTGGAGCAATCTCGTTTGTTCTTAGGGAATATGACCGACTTTGTTTCTGAAACTGAAGTATTGTATATTGTCAAGCTCTAAAATAGATTTCGAGCCTCCTTATTTGAAATTTTATTTTTTGCTTCCTAGCCAATTCCTTTTTTGTGTATATTTGGTTATTTTTTTTTTCAATAAAATTTATGTATGTCGATTTTGCTTACAAACAACTGGACGAATTTTTTGAAGTTCAGAAAACGGCACTTAATTGAATTAAATTTTTCAAACAGGTGGCAAACTTCTTCAAAAAATATTTATAAATTAAGCTTTCTTAAAACACTTCAGTTTGACAGCCATATCGAAATATTTCATTTATCTTCTCATATGAATTGATTTAAATTCTTCAAAAAGGTGGTAACCCACTTTAGGAATATTTTCGAAACTAAGCTTTCTAAACCACTTTATTTTAACACCCAAATTGCAACATTTCATTTACCTTATCAATTTAATTGAAGTAAATTTTTTTAAACAGGTGGCAACGCTCTCCAAAAATGTTTTGGAAATTAATCTTTCTTATGATGCTTACTTTGTAACAACATAATATTTATCTCATCAATTTAATTAAATTGAAGGCGGTTAAAAAAATAAATTGTTTATGGATTTACAAATAAAATTAAAAATAAGGAGGCTCGAAATCCATTTTAGAGCTATGTTGTTATGGAATTTTTTGCTCAGAATTGCCAGTAGAATACGCCAGTCGCTGAAACAAAGTAAAGAAAAGATTTGACCCGCCCTAATATACATATTTCTCTTTAAAGCACAGCTTCAACTGTGTTAAATTTAAGTTAAGAAACTTACCTCGGAATTCGACGCGTGCGATTAAATTAGATTTGGCCTTCGGCAATTGAAATTGCACAATTTTCACAGTTAACGACATGGTTGCTTAGTTTGAGTTATTTGTTGGAAATATGACGAAAGTTTTTGCTTGTGAATTTAATAACAACACAAATATTTCGTAAATTTTATTTTGTGTTCACATCGTTCCTCAAGCACTTATGTACATACATAAATAAAGTTTGTAAATTTTTTAACATATTTGCATATTTTATTATCCATTTTTAGTAATTGGTGTTTCTGTTTGCTTTCAGCTTTCAGCTTTTTTTGTTTTTGTTTACTATTTGTAGACCATCACAAGCATTTTTTATGCACATTTCCCTTGTTGTAGTTATTGCTTTTCGTAGAATTAAAATTTGTGCTTTGTTGACATTTAAATTTTTAGTTGAATATTTATGTACATTTTGCAAAGCCACATTGCTGAAGTGAATCGAAGCTTTAACTGTCTGATCTGTAATTGAATATGAAAGAAAATGTTATTAGTTAGATATATGTAAATGTATTTCTAGAAATTTTCTTGGAAAAAATTGAATATTCTTTTACATTTGAACTCTTCCACAAGTGAATTTGATAATATATGTACTAAAGTTGAAAAAGTGCGTAAAAAATAAATCTCATTTCAAAACAAAAACTCCGCAAAGTAGATATGTAGTATAGCCGATTGTAAGATAGCATTTACCGCACACTCGCCGATAATTCTTTACCGGCTTTTGTGAGAGAAAAATTAACCAAAAATCGTTTAATATTACCAAATTCAAACTTGAAAAGGAATCAACGTGGTTGTTGGTTAATATTAACAATGCCTTGATTGATATTTTCAACAATGATTTGGTAATATTAACCACAATTTCGGTTACATTAACCAAACTATTGGTTGGCGATTTTTCGTTTGAATACGTTTATGTTCTGCACTTCACTGAAACTTTTTCATAATTCGGAGATGCACAACAAAAATTTTTATTATCATTTTAACATGTTGCCTCTGGCGGGATTAGCAAATAACAGCCAGCATCTCTACACACTCGGCTACAGCCGCTTTAAAAATATGTCTTCAAATGGCCAACTTAACTCCAATTTTCTTCGTCGTTTGATTTGGTTCTGCCACTGCCATACACACGAATTTTTTCCCAAATGTTCAACTTGAATCACATTTCTTACAATCGGCTTATTGACCATGAAATAATCAAACCATAACTTGGTTGAAAAAACCATTGTGCTTTTGGCTCAGTGAAATAAATTTAAGGTAAATGTTAATGAAAAAGAGGAAGGAAATCGTTAAGATAGGATAAGAGTTAGAAAAGAGATTAGAGTTTCAAAAAGTCAGTACTTTTTGGCAGCTGTGAAAGCTAGTATTAATACAGTATATTTTGCTTTGCTGCCTCTATGCTTTAAGTGCACATTTGAGATACCTACCCCAAAATGCGCATCAAAAGCATTATTTTTAACATTTATAAGGAAACTACTCCGATAGATGCATTCAACATACCTGCACATTGGCGATACCTATGATATGAATTATCAATGAAAGTATTACGTTTACCTGCACTGGCCTTACAATTACCTAATTTTACAACGTTTTATTTATTTTGCTCATCTCGCAGAACAACGAAAATGGCTATCAATTTATGTAGTTATATAGATAATTAGATAACATTCGGTAAAAATTTCGCTTGCAGTAATTTCTACATGGTAAGTGCCCCGCCAATGTTTGGTTTCATAGGGATTCGGATACCTTCCTCATTGAAGTAGTAAAGAAAATTCGCTTAAGTGCCTTTTTCGGTTACGTGCACAAGTTTTTCGTGCAAAGAAGGATGTGCAGCTAAGCAAAATATACTGTATTCCAAGATAGATTTGTTAGAGGCAGTGACCTGCAACCGGGGGTCTCTTTGTGCCCTCAGAGCTCATCATAACACCACGTCCATGCCTAGTGATTTAATGAAACTAAGCCGTTTCCGGGGCCATAAGTCTCTCAACAACATACATACATGGCGTATGAGTAACATTCCCATCTCGTCTGAGTAACTCATACGCCATGTACGTTACGTTTTAAGTTTTTTTCGTGATAAATAGTAATTTTTAATCTTTAAAATCCGATTTTTGATTCGTAATTATGGACCATAAAAACCGTCGATTGTAAATATTTATACGAAAACTACATACATACAAATTTATGTAACAGCATCAAGATGTAAATACAAGCAGATCGTATGAGAGGCTCTTCCAAACACTTAGCAACAGTGTATGCGCCAAAATATTAGTAATGTGTTATATACGAATTAGATTTGTGAAATGCCAAGCATATAAGCTGATAGTAAGGCAACTGATATAAATTCAAACAATTTCTACTCTTAGTATTCCCAGGTTGAGAACCTTTTTATTTGCATTAGTACTGAGCTAGGAGACACCGGTTAACTGTGAACTTTTAAAACTTTCTGGGATGAAACGAAAAGTTCCAAATGAATCGATTAATTACCAAAGGAAATAAGTCAGCATTTTTTCGAAAGGACAATATTGATACATTCGGTTCGTTTACAGGAGTTCTGTTGAATAGTATAAAATTTGCCATATCGGCAAAAAGCTGACTTACAATTCTTAATATACATCCTTAAATGCTACTTACTTCATTGCATTATACCAGCACTTTGCTCGTATTTACACACATACATACATATGTTTGTTTTCTGTGAGTACCGCTTTTAGTGAACATGTCGAATTAATAAATATTCAGTCTCAAACTTATTGAATAAAATCAATAAGTATCGCATTAGAAAGCAGTTGGATAAACGCTGAAGTCAAAGCTGTAGTTTTCTTAAAGTTTACAAAAATGTAAGCTTACATACAAAATTTCATCATCAAATTAAATATTGTAGTAATGCATTGTCTACATGCACATTACTAAACATAACTATTAAATTTTAATTTGATGTTGAAAGTAAACAATAGAAATATTTACCAAATTTGTCAAAATTTAAAACGATTATTATTACTTATGTTCGTTAATATTTATCGGTCGCAAGCACAATGAAACTATGGAATATTTTCAAAGTAAACATTTTGTGGCATGCCACATAAGCTTGCATATATGCATGAGTATGTTATCGTATGTGTGCAAATATCTATGTAGATATGTGTTATACCATTTCGGGTATGCGTATGGCAATCATATGTATAACTTCACTTTATTAATATTTAGGATACTTCTACATAGTACATATGCATTACATATAAATATGTACATATGTATGTATACCCATACTACGTATTAACTTTTTGCGCACATATGTTCGTCTCAGTGCTTTCCAACACTACTTATCTCACACCTTTTTCAAAAGAGGCACAACTCAAAATTTGGCATATTTGAAAATATGCGCTAAAAATGTAAACAGAGCTGGAGAAAATTTTTGTTATAATTAAAAACAAAAAAACCGAAGCTAAAGTCCCGCTTGCCCATATGATTATCATGTGCTTAGAAATAGTAGTTCGCATTTTCTGACAAATGTGTAATTTTGAGTTGTGACCCTTTGGAAGACGGTGTGCGAAATGTAAAAGACTAGCCGCATTGTTTGCTGCATGTGGCTGCGTTACTCATACGCCCCGACAGATGTGGCTGCCTGCCGATTGCACGTTTCGCCTTTGCGTTGGCTGGCACAGCCTTCGCTTTGAAATTTTATGTAGTTTTAAGCACGAATTGTAAACTTCAAATCATGCGTGCGATCATGAGCTTGTGGATTAGGGTCGTCCACAACTGCATGGGGTAAAAGTAAAGTCATAAATTAATGCTCTCATCCACTGGATTGCTCTATATCGAAAATATTGCCCCCCTTTTTTATAAAAAAAAAAAAATTGTAAAGATCGGTCAAAGAGCTCAAAGTCTCTTATGTATTTGAAATAAAAACAGAACAATTTTCGTAGAAGTGGTACTAAATTATAGAAATTTTTTCAGTCGGCAAACTCTGTTCTCTTCAGGAGCTTTTAATGGATAATATTCAAATGTTTATTGAAGCATTTTTTTTTTTGGTATTAACTTTTTCTTTCGGTCCCACAGGAACCCCAAACAGTGCAAATATATGAAATTGTTGGCCGTTACTTTGATAAATTAATGCTGTAATGCCCCCTTTCGACGAAGCACAATCAAATTCAAGCGACAAAAAACACAGGGAGCACGTAAAAGTTACACACTAAGAAGCTCATGGCACGCACGTGCATACGTATTTCTTCAGATATTTTAGTCGATTCGCCGCTCATTTTTGTTACTTTGCATTTTTGACACACTCCCAACTGATTCGATTACTGGCACACTTCATTTGGTCGGCAGACACGGCGTGTTGGCTGACAGCTTTTGAGTGCGCCAAATTGACTGTAACAGATTTGGCACTGTGCAGTTATTTAGTTTGATAGCCATAGCAGCAGGTGAGTGGAGAACAAGCCAATGTAAAGGGATTCTGTTTATTCTCGCAGCAAGGTCAATTATCGTTGACGTCGTCGCTGTGTGCAAGCGCACAGGGACAAGGTTAGGTGATTGCTTTTTCCATCTACATACTGCTATTTATGCCTTACGTATCAAGGATATTCAGGAAGCCAGTTGTATTACCTTAGCTAACGAACAAAAAAAAAATTGACTTTCGGAAGTTAGAGCGAAATCGATTTACATATTTAAATAAGTGAAATACGTATGTATACATGCAGGCGTGGCAGAATAAATTGTGTTTTACATAATTCATTTCGCGATGAATTTGCATCTAACTTAGTAGTTTCTTTCTATGAGCTTAATAAATTTTGTATATTTTCCGGCTTATGCTTATTTGGCTTCTTCTACAAAGTGCTTGGCCACGCTGCCTTAAATTTATGGTGTGAGTCTTGATTTTAACCTGACTTATAGGTTTAAGCCGCTTCCGAAAGGTGGATAATTTTTTATGAGAAGGTTTTTCATGCCGACATAGAGTGCCCGCTATTAAAAAAAGGAACAGTCCAGCGCCTTCGTCTTGGTCTGCAGGCTGTATCGGAGATACACCCGCTAAATTTAAACGTAGAATACGTGGTATGGTTAAGAGCATATCCAAGTCAAAAACGAAAGCACAAACTAAGAAAAAAATATCGATAACAAAAGCGATAATAAAATCGATAACAAAATCGATAAAAATATCGATAACAAAATCGTTAACTAAATCGATTACAAAATCGATAAAAAATCGATTACAAAATCTATCGAAAAATCGATTACAAAATCGATAACAAAATCGATTCCAAAGTCAATAACAAAATTGATAACAAAATCTATCAAAAAATCCATTACAAAATCGGTAATAAATTCGATAAAAAAATCGATAAAACTATCGATAACAAAAGCGATGGCAATATCGATAGCAAAATCGGTAAAAAAAACCGATAAAAATACCGACAACAAAAGCGATAACAATATCTATAGAAAAATCGATAAAAATATT